TAAATCAAACCACAAAAAAGAAAACCTGAAACATCCTAATGCAGACCACAAATATATTAAAACAAACCAGAAACTCCTCAATGCAAACCACAAAATTTTTGAAAGCAAACCAGAAACTTCTCAATGCAAACTACAAATACGATAAAGCAAACCACAAAAGACATAAAAAAATATGAGAAACCAAACCATAAATCTCACAATGCAGACCATAACATCCGGTGGTCATTGACCGAACTCCGATGACCGTCAATGAGCATATTCCGACGCCGATAGGCATATTCCGGCCCCGATGACTAGATTCCGACGCCGGTAAGCATATTCTGACGCCGGTAAGCATATTCTGGCGACAAATAGTATATTCCGGTGATCGGCGACCAGTTTCCGAAGACCGGTGGCCGAATTCTGGCGACCAAAATTTTGGGCCGAAAATAAAAAAATATGTTTTATTTTTTGTTATTATTTAAACATATTTTTCATAATGACAATTATACCCCTGCTTTGATTTTACACTAGGTCAACTCATCTAATAATAAGTCATCACAACCCTAACTTCCTATTGGTTGGAGACTAGTGTTGTTACAATAACAACACAAGGGGTATTGTCATAGTAATCGGTCCCCAAAAGGGATATGATACTTTATATATTGGTTAATAGGGGTGAACATGGTTAGAGTTGGGTTGGTTTTAGTATCCACCATTCTTGAATTATGTTTCACATGGTAACCATTCTTGTAAGTGATGACGGGATCACGAGTTCGAGCTACCGTTTTATTTTTTTGGTGTTTCCGGAGGTAGATTGTTCGAAACTTTGGCTATGCAATCGGGGTTGGCAATACTGTGGTTTGTCCTGACTCCGACATCACTTAAGTGGTGATCGGGAAGGGTGTTCCACGTTATAAAAAAATGGAAGACATTTAACATGATGTTATAAAATCTACCCCATATGTAATTTGCGAAAAACTTACTCTCATCATGAAGGTTGTCGGTTGGATTTGCTACGATAAAGTCGATTAGGGTTAGGTTGGGTATCCACCGAGTTGGGTTGATTATTTGGCCTTCCATAATTGGTTATATTCACTTGTGATGAATAAGTGAAAACGGTGTTTATCAATTTGGTCTACCATTCCACATGCGAATCAAGTGTTTATATAAGTTTTCTAGACATCCATGAGATCTGGTTTCTGGCAGACTGCCCTACGTACCCTCACAAAAACAATCCTAAGATTGGTTGAACTGTGAATGGAATTGCAAAAGGACGTAAGCACGTACGGATTGTAGTTAGTAATTAGGTTAACTTTTGAAGTAGGAAGAGGAAGATGATGCGTGTTTGTCTTTAGTGATGGAAATACTTGGAATTGCTAGCTTTGTCATTTACCAAACCAAGGAGGCGTGGCAGTGGCCACTTCCGTACGGTGATTACGAATTTACGATCCTGAAAAACTAGTGCACTTTCCTCCAATATTTACATAGCTAGTAAAGATTATAGTGTGGATTTTGGGACACATTTCTTTGATGTGAGTGGCCCCAGACTAGTTAAATGGATTTAGACGTGGCAATTATCAATCCAATTCATAAAAATATCTACCTAATCCAATTCATTTGATACAAATTCAATTGGATTGGTGGATTTATGGATTGATACAGGGATCCTGATATACCCAATGTAAAAATATTTTTACAGCACCAGTTCACCATATGCTCAAATAGTGCATTATTGCACCTGGGCCGACAATCGTGCTCAGCCCACAACTCTCTCCGGTGAAGTGTTGGGCCAGGCCCGTCCAGCTCCAATTAGTACCCAATTGTGCCATGGCCCGCCAACACTAAATCATACAGTGCTTTGCGATTGCCCCAAGATTAGAGTTCCTCCCTCCGAGCCCGACACCCGGGCCCACCATTTTCCCGGCTCACGGCGGCGGACCTTCACCTCTCGGCCGATGCCTGGGCCCGTTATCCCGGACCCCGGCTCCCGGGCCCACCATTGCCCCGGCTCCCGGCGGCGGGCCTTCACCTCTCTTCCGGTGCCCGGGCCCGGGCACGTTATCGTTCCTGGACCCTGGTTCCCGGCACCCGGGCCCACTATTGCCCGGCTCCCGGCGGCGGACCTTCACCTCTCGTCCGGTGCCCGGGCCCATTATCGTTCCCGGACCCCGGCTCCCGGTACCCGGCGCCCACCATTGCCCCGGCTCCCGGCGACGGGCCCTCACATCTCGTCCGGTTCCCGGCGCCCGGGCCCGTTATCGTTCCCGGACCCCGGGCTCGTTATCGTTCCCGGACCCCGGCTCCCAGCACCCGTGCCCACCATTGCGCCGGCTCTCGGCGACGGACCTTCACCTCTCGTCCGGTTTCCGGTGCCTGGGCCCGTTATCGTTCCCGGACCACGGCTCCCGACACCCGGGCCCAGCATTGCCCCGGCTCCCGGCACCCAGGCCCAACATTGCCCCGGCTCCCGGCGGGCCTTTACCTCTCTTCCGGTGCCCAGGCCTGGGCACGTTATCGTTCCCGGACCCTGGTTCCCGGCACCCGGGCCCACTATTGCCCCGGCTCCCGGTGGCGGGCCTTTACCTCTCTTCCGGTGCCTGGGCCCGGACCCGTTATCGTTCCCGAACCCCGTCTCCCAGCACCCGGGCCTACCATTGCCCCGGCTCCCGGCGACGGGCCTTCAACTCTCGTCCGGTTCCCGATGCCTGGGCCAGTTATCGTTCCCGGATCCCGGCTCCCGGCACCAGGCCCACCATTGCCCCGGTTCCCGGCGACGGGCCTTCACCTCTCGTCCGGTTCCCGGGCCCACCATTACCCCGGCTTCCTCCGCCGGGCCATCGCCTCTCGTCCGGTGCTCGGCGCCCGCGCCCGATACTGATTTCGAGCTCCGCCCGCCTCCTAGCGCCCGGGCCCGCTGTCACCCCCTCCTCCCGGCGCCCGGGCTCGCTGTCGCCCTGCTCCCAGTACCCGGATCCGCATCTATTCTCCCCACCTGTATCCATTGCAAGTGTATTACCTGCACATGTGTCATGCCCTCTACTCAATTAGTTTGCATGTGGCATATGTGTTCCCCTTAGGCAGAAACATGGTTGACATGTGTACAACCACGTGGCGGGATCAGATGGGCCTAGACGACACATGTCCAGTGACGTGTCTTTCCGGCGCCGACACTTGTCCTCCCGTTGCCCCCTGGTAGTTACTATATAACTAGCCCATTCTCTCCAGTAAAAGGTAATGCAGGAGACCAGGGGAAGTACCTGGAGAGCGCCCACTGCAATCAGTGACTCTCACCCTGATATTCGGCTTTAATATATCGGATTCTTTGACTTTATGTGATTATCCGTGGTATGTTTTAGCCAATTGGTGCTATTTTAGGACTCGCTAACCCGAGAATGGTTGAAAAACCATTACTGCCTAGTGCCATGAGTTTGATATATTACAGGTGGAGAAAGTACGAAAAAGAAGCGAGTGCATAAGCAATTAATTGGGCCCAAATTACTTTGTCTCGGGGAGGAGACGCAATTGGGTCAGGAAGAGAAATTAAGTGGACATGGTCCATTTAGTTGGACAGGCCATCATTACTTTTGACATATTTGGTGGAATTAATTGGACACGTTTTTGGCTTGGGGGATTTATTTTGGACGGAAGAGGCAATTTGGGACTTTGGTTTTGGAATTAGTTGGACACGGGAAAGGAGAGGGAAAGGCAGCAGGCGCAGTAGCCAAATTCTGGGAGGAAACGAAATTCTCTGGTGGCGGGGGGGATTGAAAGCGAGAAGAAAAAAGAAAGGAAGGCGGCAGGATAATTCTCGGAACGGGAATTATTTTGGCGATTGAGAATAGAAAGAGGCGCAGCGGAGAAAGGCAGCAGGGCGCGGCAGAGAGCGTATCGAGCAACGAGCAGTTTTTTCGAAGCGGCTAGAGCTGAGTTCAACGAGAGCGATTATTTGGTTGGATTTTCTGAACCGAATTAGTTGTTTATTGTTGATTTAGAACATGATGATCAAAACCCTAATGTTTTATCTTAATTTCGTCATGAACTAAACCCCGATTTCTGGGGGAAACACCATGGGATGTAGCTAGTTCCTGATTTGATGGATTGATTCATGATTCTTTTCCTCCAATCTCTATTGCATGAAATTTCTTAATGCTTTGTGTTGACTGGCCACCAATACAATGAATCGTAGTTGATTAGGTTATTAGCGACAGTGAAACCCTAATAACTGAACCTGTTTCATGTGACATAGTAACTTATCGAAGCGACAGTGGATTAAATAAGGTACTATGCAGTCTTGATTAGGATATCGGTCTTCAGGCTAAATAATTAAGTCATTGAGCTACGATAGTAGGATTTGATTTAATTGTTTAGTACGTAGTAATTCCCGACAGGGATAACTAGCACAATAGAGATATCCTGGCTGTAGAGATATGGATTAAACAGATTAGACTATGTGAATTAATTTGGATATGATAGGTAGTGAGTCCCAGTGTTTCTCCCAGAGCTTTCTCCCATTGAATTAGACCCGACAGTTTTCACTTGTTTAATTTGTTTAGTTTATTTTGCTTTTAGATAATTAGTCTCATTAAACCATTTTCACCTGTAGTTTGCTCTATAGAATCAATAAATCATTAGGTTGTACCAGTCCCTGAGAGACGATACCCGGACTTTCCGGTTTTACTACAAGATAGGAATTGAAGCTATACGCTTTTGCCTTATCACACCCCCAGAGATCACCTCCTACAAACACTTTGTAAACTACTCAATCCCCCACACTAGGGACTAACTTGAGCGTCGGAGGGTGCCCCCGCCGAGATCGGCCGGCGGGCTCTTTTTTGCAGGAAGCGATTGGAGGCAAAGTCACGAAAGAAGGTTACCGTAAAGGGGGACTTCAAATCGCTTCGGGGCCCAAGATCGAGGAAGTCGACATCGGTTACAACCTCGGCATCAACAATTGGCGCCCACCTAGGGCCTCGAAGTAAGAATATTAAAGAATACCCGATATCAACTTTCCGTTCGTGATGGAGTCCGAAAGCTCCCACACGGCGGGGGGGAGTCGAGACAAAGAAACGTATGTCCAACCTATTGTTGAGGAACTCCAAACTCAAATCGAGCAACTCAAGGCACAAATTAAGACGCTGACCTCGGCTCCTCCTCCCAATGGCGTGCATGGTAGTTCAAGTCAACAACAAGAAACCCCTGGTGGGTCCGCCCAGCCAAACGGGACGTCGGCTCCGCCCCTCCCTCGCGACCCGACCTCTCGTATTTGGAGGCTTATCTCACGCCAGGTTTCCTCGGTGATCCCGGTCACGGAAGGCCCCTCGCTTCGACTATTCTTGAGCAGCCTAATCCTCCCAATTTTCAAATGCCGCACCACCTGCCAGAATATTACGAGACTTCCGACCCGGAGGATCACCTCAGTGCATTTTAGATTCTGATGCCCTTCGTGGGGGCATCTGACGCTACTATGTGCAAGCTCTTTCCTGCCACCTTACGGGGGGTGGCATTTCAATGGTACACACAACTTCGCAATGGGATAATCCACAACTTCGAAGAATTTGCCACCCTCTTTCGTGCTAAGTTCTTCACTCAGAAAAGGCCTAATGTGGATGTCTCTCACCTCAGGAACACCAAGTAAAGGGAATATGAGACCCTCAAAGAGTATTGCGCCCAGTTTAGCACGATTGCTGTCGGGGTAACCACTCTCTCCACAGAAAATGCCACACATGCCCTCATATTTGGGACCAATAACGCCCTCCTCCGAGCTTCACTTATAAAGCGACGCCCTCGCAACATGATGGATCTCCAGGAACGAGTTTCTAAGTATATCGCCCTTGACGAGACCCTGCAGGAGACGACCCCCAATAGGAGAGGTCGCTTGCCTCCCCCTAAGAGGAAGCGCGATTCCTCACCTCCAAGAAGAGCAGATTCACCGCGAGCTCGCGAGCGCCCACGTGGTCGTTCACCGCCGCCCTCAGATAAGGGAGGTCATCGAGATGCCCGTCGGGAAGCAGTTGAACCCAAAGCAGAACGTCCTTTCACTCCCCTCACGGAACCACGTAAAACTATTTTGCAAATCATCCAAGAGAAGAAAATCCCGATTGTGTGGCCAGCTCCAATGACCAAGGAACCACGAGAAGGGAAGAAAAAGTATTGCGATTTCCACCGAGGACATGGTCACGATACAGAGCGTTGTTGGACTCTAAAGAATTCCATAGAAAATCTTGTTCAAGAAGGACATCTCAAGAAATACGTTGAAGGCCCAACAGAATGCTCCCGAGAGCTCCCACCCACCGATCGAGGCAAAACTCTTCAGAGCACCGTTGTTCGTGGGGTCGTCGAGGTCATCCATGGCGGAGCCGGCCTCTGGGGTATGCAAGCTAAATCTCCGACGAACGCCCAGGCCATGGTGGGCTCCACCTCAGCAACAGCAGCCACTCCTCCAATCTCATTTGACTCCCATGATTTAGAAGGAGTTGCGCACCCACACGATGACCCATTGGTAATAAAGGCAATAATAGCTGATTACAAGGTCAAGAGAATCTTGGTGGATGGGGGAAGCTCAGCGGACCTACTCTTCTACCCTGCATACCTATCCTTGGGATACCGCCCTGAACAGTGTCGGCCGACAAAGATCTGCTTCACGGGGTTCTCCGGATCCCAGGTGCCCGTGATCGGGACCCTACCACTTCGTGTTCAGATTGGGAGTGGTGAACATACCGCTGAAACCATCATCAACTTTCATGTAGTTGATTGTCCTTCGGCGTACAATTGTATCCTCGGTCGACCTTTTCTCCATCAACGTCGGGCTATCCCCTCAACTTTCCATCTCCGTCTTAAATTTCCCACTAAGGCCGGTGTTGGGTGTTTGCAAGGGGACCAAGCTCTAGCACGAAAATGTTGCACTCTGTCCCAAGAGAAAAAGGCGATTGTCGCGATCGACGCCCTAGAGGAAAATGCTCGCCCAGTTCCTGTTGATGACGACGAGGAGTTCCCACTCGTTGATGAGCACACAGTTCGCATATCAACCGCCTGGCCGCGAGAGTCACTCCAGTCCCTCCTCACGTTACTCCGGGAATTCGGGGAAGTATTCGCCTGGGGTCCCGAAGATATGCCTGGGGTCCACCCTCGAGTGGCCGAGCACACACTCGGAATAGCCCCTGGCAGCCGCCCCGTCCAACAAAAGCGACGAAACTTTGCATGGGAAATACGCCAGGCGGTGGCCGAAGAAGTCACCAAACTCCTTAAAGCTCGGTTTATCAGGGAAGTCTTGTACCCGACATGGCTGGCCAACGTCGTTATGGTAAAAAAAGCCAAATGGTCAGTGGCGCATGTGTGTGGATTTCACCGACCTAAACAAGGCATGCCCTAAGGATCCATATCCTCTCCCAAAAATTGATCAGCTCGTGGATGCCACCTCCGGACACCAGTTTCCCACCTTTCTCGACATGTTATCCGGGTACCACCAGATTCCGATGAAGAAAGAAGACCAAGAAAAGACAGCTTTCATGACACCTGTTGGAAACTACTGTTATGAAGTTATGCCCTTCGGCCTAAAAAACGTCGCTGCCACGTATCAGCGCATGGTGGATCGGGTTTTTGCCCGCCAACTGGGAAGGAATGTAGAAGCATATGTCGATGACATCTTGATAAAGAGCATCGGAGTGGGTGCACACCTCGAAGATTTGAGGGAAACGCTCAACACTATGCGCTTGTATGACCTCCGCCTCAATCCAAAAAAGTGTGTCTTTAGTGCAACTGCTGGCAAGTTCCTAGGCTTTATGCTCACCCAAAGAGGGATCGAAGCCAAACCTTGCCAGATTGACGCAATCCTTCAAATGCCTCCTCCCACCAAAGGTCGAGAGGTGCAAGTACTTGCTGGGCGCATCGCAACCCTCAATCGCTTTATAGCCAGGGCCGATGATAGATGTGCTCCGTTATTTGCTACACTTAAAGGTGCTTGTAAGACCTTTGAGTGGACCCACGAGTGCGAGAGCGCGTTCGAGGAGCTCAAAAACTACCTTGTAAACCCACCAATACTCTCCTCCCCAGAGAATAATGAGGTCCTTTACTTGTACTTCGCTGTGTCTCCCAAGGCCGTGAGCGCGGTGTTAGTGCGAAAGGATTCCACCGGGACCTAGCATCCAGTATATTACACCAGCAAAACTCTCCTTGATGCTGAAACTCGATATACTCCCGTGGAACAAGCAGCATTGGCCGTAGTTGTTGCCTCCCGAAAATTGCGCCCTTACTTCCAAGCTCACCCCATATGCGTCCTAATGCACCTACCCCTTCGACGCCTTCTACAGAAAATGGATGTTGTCGGGCGCATGATCAACTGGGCCATCGAGTTGAGTGAGTTTGACATCACCTTTGTACCCCGAACGGCCATCAAGTCACAGGTGCTTGCCGACTTCATAGCCGAGGGAATTCGTGGTCAGCCTCCGCCAACGACGGAGACTTGGGGGATGTTCATTTATGGTGCCTCTAACAAGTCCGGGGAAGGCGGCGGGGTTCTTCTAATAAGCCCCCTCGGTGTCGCTCATGAGTTAGCTGTGAGATTCACATCGCCAAAAACCAACAATGCCACGGAATATGAAGCTTTACTAGCGGGACTCTCCATGGCACAAGGACTGGGGGCACAACGTCTTGTCATTCACTCAGACTCCACACTCGTGGTCAATCAGGTGGATGGGACTTTTGAAACACGGGAGCCGACACTCATGGCTTATGTCAATGCCGTGCGGGCGGCCTTGGCCAACTTTATCGATGCTCGCGTCATCCACATTCTACGAGAAGAAAACCTTCATCCGGATGCCATCTCCAAACTGGCAACTGCGCGGGATTTTTTGGACGAGAGACATGTTATTGTTGAACGACGTCCCGCCTTGCTATGCTCTCAGACAACCACTTTGCCACTCCCCCGAGACTGGCGCACGCCAATGATTGAATACCTCCAACATGGAATCCTTCCGGCCGACCATAAAGAAGCAGTTCGCCTGAAGCGTCGGGCGCCTTTATACATTATGATCGACAACGCTCTGTATCGGAAGAGTTTCGCAGGCCCGTATCTCCAGTGTCTTAGTGCGCGCGAAGCCCACTTTGCTCTCCGGGAAGTTCACCAGGGGACATGCGCCATCCATGCAGGCCCGCGTAGTCTAGAAAAGACTCTCCTCCGTCAAGGATATTATTGGCCAACAATTCGACGGGATGCCCGAGAGTATGTTAAGGTATGCTCCAAGTGCCAAATAGTCGCCCGAGTACCCCGTGCGCCCACGACACCAATGCAAGGGAACCTCAGTACTTGGCCTTTCGCTCAGTGGGGAATGGATTTCCTCGGTCCTTTTCCCGAGGCACCCGGGAGGAAAAAGTATTTGATAGTCGCTATCGACTATTTCACCAAATGGATAGAGGCCGATGCTCTAACTGGCATGACCACCCAACAGGTTGTGAAGTTCTTGTGGACCCACATCATTTGTCGGTTCAGCCTCCCTCACACCATTGTGCTGGATCAAGGAACACAATTCAAGAGTCAGGACCTCTAGACGTACTGTGCCCAGTATGGCATTCTCCTTCGATATGCATCTGTCTCCTACCCTCAGGCTAACGGTCAGGCAGAGTCCGCCAACAAAAAAATCTTGTGGGGACTAAAAACTCGTCTAGACGACGCCAAAGGGAAATGGGTGGAAGAACTTCCTCATGTCCTGTGGGCTCACCGAACCACCTACAAGACTGCCACGGGAGATACACCGTACGCGCTCACTTATGGAACCGACGCGGTGTTACCCATTGAAATGGAACTGTCGTCATATCGGGTTGAAGCCTTCCGCCCGGAAGCCAACAATGAGGAGCTCACCCACAACCTCGACCTTGTTGAAGAACGTCGAGAAGATGCTCGGCTACGCCTGGTTGCCAGCCAAGAAAGGGTTGCTCGATACTACAACTCTAAGGTTAGAGAGAGGCCTCTCTAGGTTGGGGATTGGGTGCTTCGACGAAATTTACGCCCCGAAGAAGGTCTGGGAAAGTTCACGCCCAAGTGGGAAGGCCCATATAGGGTAAGAGAAGTTGTCGGTCCCAACACGGTGAAGCTAGAAGATGCCGACGGTGTCCAAAACCTGGAACGCCATGCACCTATGTAGGTATTTCACACCCATGTAATAAAAGCGCTCGCGCTGAGCAAAGTTTATAATAATAAAAGTGCATGGTTCGTGGATTACATCGGAAATTCCAAATTGATACGAAAAGCAACAAAGTACGCATGAAACAACAACTAAAGCAAACAAACGAAGTCGACTACCACGACTCAAGCACCCGTCGTAGGGTCGGGGCCCAAGGCGGAGCTCGGACTGGCGGCGTGACTAAAACTAGGTGGTGTTCCCGAGTAAAGTGGGATCTCGGGCATATGGAGGTCGGACATATAATTCCCAATGAAATTCTC